GTTGAACTTTTTAAGAAACCACCATTCTGTTTTCCAAAGTGGTTGTATCATTTTATATTTCTACTAGCAATGAAAAAGAGTTTTAGTTCTTCCATCTTCTGGTCAGCTCTTGGTATGATCAGTCTCTTTAATATCCTCCCACACCTGATTCTTACTGGCTGAGGGGCTGAACAAGGTGCTCTACCTATAATCCTCACAATAAGCATACCCAGTAAATATTATCCTCTCTCTTTTGAAAATAAGGAATCTTAGGCCCAGAAGATTCAGAATACTTGTCCAAGGACATTGAAAAGGATAGGATGAGAAATCACAGCTCAGCCTGTTTGGCTTCAAAGACTTTTTCTTTCCATACATTATGTTCCCTCTTGGGATAGTAAGAAAACCTCACTACTTTTGAAGGACTTATTATAATGGAATTTGAACTATGCATAATTTTCTGAAATTTTAATTTATATATATGACAAATTTGAGTGTGTAGAGGGAGAAAATGATAATTTACGTACCTTTAGTAGAATTATTTTAAAGCTCTTGAATATTGCTGGGCAAAAATAGTACATATTTTTTTTTGAAATAAGTATTGGCTAGAAATTGAATAAAGAATATTGCCCAACATGAACCAGATGTTTTATTTTTATGTAGAGAAGGAAATTATCGAATATAGGATCAAGTTCTCTGGTATTGTTTTGTCATAATTTTGTTATTACATGGACTCCTGAAAGGTAGCATCTTGTGCCCAAAAACATGGAAGTTGGGGATTTCTCTCATGCACTGGGCTGTGTTTATATTAGGTTATGCATGGCAGTTTCACAGTTTGTTTTGCAGATGTTCCTAATGTACAGCCCTACATCTTGTTTCTATTTCTGGAATGCTTTTAAATATGACTCATGCGTTCTGGAGGCCATACTAAAAGTACAGCTAGTTTCAAGCATTAATGTAAAATACACCACAGATTCCACACAGCAGTACATAATTCTTTCTCTCAGTAGTTTAATGCAATTTCCTGACAAATATTTTCTTTGACAAAATACACTGTACTAAAATGTGAATAAGTGAAAATGGTATTTTTGTTTGAGAAGTGGGTTCTCTGATAACATAATGTAAATAGCAGAATGAATTTGAAATTTTAATAGGAGTTAACATTTCATTGGTATCACCAAAATCCAAGAAATATATTAATGGCCAGAAAAACAAGTCCACTAAATTTGAGGGAGCCCAGTGGGGCCCACAATTATAGAGGAAATCTTGGACCTAAAGGTAGAGCCTGTTAAAAATATTTTAAAGGGGCAGGCAATAGGACATATGGCTGGAATGCAAGCTTTGGACTCAAACAGTTTAGGTATAAATCTTGGTTTATGTACCTATCACCTGTGGACAGAGGGTAATGAGTATTTAACAAATGCTTATATGTTACTTATTATTAATGGATACTTCTATATGCCTAATTTAATCCTCATAACAACTTTATAACTAAGTACATTTATCATCTCCATTATATAGTTGGAGAAACTGAGCACAGAGGGTTTAAATAACTAACATTACATGGCTAGTAAACAGCAGAATTGAGATTTGAGCAGTTCAGTTCAAGGCTGTATCCTTACACACTATAGTCTGCCACCTTCCAGGGTTGTAAGATCTAGGTGATATGATATACTGCACAAAAATCATTTGTATTTTTACCTGGCACTCGACAGGAATGCAGTAAATTATAACCATTATCATTACTATTATTGAGGGGAGGAGAAAGAACGGAAAAGAAAGAGGTCTTCGTGAGCATATGGTGTAGACTATAATGCCACAGGATTCAGCAGCTGCTTATACATATTAACAAAGCTTTGTGGAATTGAAATGTAGTGGCGATGAAAGTCTTAGATATCCTGACATCTAGAAGCTCAGTATAAAGGTAGAACGAATTCACTACTGACTTGCCTCCCTGACAATTTCAGCTTTCAGAAGGCGGGGAAACTGAGAGAAACTCTCTGGGCTTAATTGTGAATTAAAAATAACTCATTAGTGGTGTGCAAACAACATAAACTTTGGAAACACACAAATAATGCAGACGCACTGTTTCTTAACAGTGTGCCATTGACATATTAGGCAGATGCAACTCTCTTGGATGTTGTATTTAGCATCCCTAAATGTCAGTGGTGTACTGAATTATATCTATCTCCCAAAACTTTTCAACAACGGAAAGTTCCCCCAGATGTTCCCACATGCCTTCTGGCAGGCATAGATAGAGTAGTGGCAGTACTGCTACTAATTGAGAACCACTATTGATTGGCAAGAGTAAAGGGAGGGATTGCTGAGAATTGTCAGATGTGCCTTAGGACAGTGGTTCTCAACACACAGGAGGACCATGGTAAGTAGAAGACACTCCCATGAGCATGCTGAGGATTATACACAGTTCACAGGGCTCCAGCTTTAAGTAACTATGCCTTTCTTTCTTACTTAAAGTATGTTGGTATACAAACTGCTCTGTGATTATAGGTATAACTCTGATTGTTCTACAGTTTGCTAAAAAAAAAAAAAAAGGTGAATTTTCTTTAAACCTCAACACTTTATTAACTCTGACAACATGTGAAGGGCAGACCTCACATTTGATTAGGAACTACTGCCTTCAACTTTAAAAAAAAAATCTTGAAAATGGATATAGTTCCAAGGTCAAGGTGTTCAAAATGGGATGGAAATATATAGAACTAAATTGAGAGTCTAATTATGAATAGTTACAAATAGTTATAAGTAATAACAGGTGTGAGGAAGCTGAACAGACCAATCAGCTTTAACTTCTAGAACTTTTGAGATTTCATATTTTAAATAGACAAGTCCAGGTAATGGTAAGTCAGGCATATTGCCAAAGCTGAATACAAAGGAGCAACAAAAAACTGTAAGAATAGTGTTGGGGAGGCCTGTGTCCAAAGTAAGCTGAGATTTGTGAAACTTTAAAGAAAAAAGCCCCTTAAGTGTTTAAATTTTTAATTGTATATTTTATATCAGAGTAAGAAGAAATTCTACAGCATAGGGAACTTTGTATAATTTTACTGATAGAGAAGCTAGAGCTTTTTAACTCTTATTTTGTTTCATCCTTAAACAAGTGTATTGATTCATTTGAAATGAGAAAAAGTAGGCTGTATAATCACAAAGATGGATTTAAGCCTGAAGTAGCAAATAGTTACATGAACATCTGGTAGTTATGAGGTTGACTCTCCAAGCTCAGATGAATTGCATCCTGGCATCATGAAACTCCTTGATAGATTCTCAAAGGTATCGGTCTTAGAACAATGTTTCTCGACCTTTGTTTCATTATTGCTCTACTAAGGACATTTTTCCTCCAATTGTCTCTCCCAACTCCATGAACTTTCAATACCACAGATATATTGTATATCTGTTTATGCATGATAGCCCTTTAGGGGATGACAAACCACTGTAATATCTAAGAATTTTTCTCAATTTCCCCACCCGGAACCAGTTTTTGACCCCTTAGGGGTGATATTCACCTAAGGTGTTGTGCACGTCCTGGAGGATTCATAGACGAAGGAGAGAAGCCAAGCATTCCCACTGTGGGGATGTTCTAACCAACTGAGCTATCCCGCCAAGGCCAGAAATTTATTTTTATTCTTCTCAGTGATTAGATGGTAGGTTTTTGGGGGAAGTGAGAGGGACGACCCTAGCAATATGGTGTTGTCAGAGGAGGGGAAAAGCACAACTTTAGTCCTCGGTACGTGTTCTCAGTTTGATCTTTGAATTCTTTCATGACCTCACTGTGTAATTAAAGTTTTAAAAGTATGGAATATTCAACAAATATAAATATGTGTATCTGTATGCGTGTATGTTTATAGATAAAATGCAATATAGTGGTAAAGCAAGCACTGTAACCCACACCCAGGTTAAGAGCTAAAATATTAGCAGTACCATTGAAACTACTTATGAGAATCTGATTCTACGCCCATGTGTCCATTATCCTGAGTTTATCATTCTCTTGCGTTACTACTTTTTCAAGCACTGTTTTATCACATATGTATATATGTCTAATGAATTCAATTTGCTAGTTGAGTTTTATCAAAATAATTTTAGATGTGATTCATTCTGAGATTTAATTTTTTCACTCAATATTACACATTTTAATAGTTAAACATATTGTTGAAAGTAGCAGTAGTTATTCTTTTTTTATCATTATATAATATTCCATTGTGTGTGTTTTATCCATCTCCTGTCTCCAGTTTTATTTTGAATGACACTGCTGTGAGTATTCTATATGCTACCTGATGTACAAGTGTGAGAGTTTTTCCTATGTATCTAGGAGTGCAATTGCTGGGTCACTGAATCATTTACAAATGAGCAAACACAAATTAATAGTATTAACTCAAACATTTTAGAAAACGTTTAGGCAGAAGATGAGCAGATTGATGGGTGATTTAAAGTAGACTTAGAAGGGCATTTTATGAAGCAGTCTCCTATTCCCCAAAGAGTTGATGTAGATGAATAGGCAAATTCTCAAAAAGGTATTTGTCTTCTTCAAACTTTTCAATTGTGAGCTTTGAGATCTCACAACCCATTTCCAACTCAAGTTATAATATAGTTTTCTTAAATTTTTAAAGACTATCATAATCATTAATTGTCTGGGATGATTTGATCATATCCCGTTTTTAGAGCCAAAGAGTTGGGCTCTAAAACTGTGAAGAAGTAATGATACCATTCCTCATATCACACTTGGAAATCACTTTCATTCCTTTAGCAACACTTATAGTGTGATTTTTCAAATGTTCTTATAAGCTTTTAAGTGTTATGTGACTCTGTGATATTATAAACTTTGTCCTATTTTAAAATTGATAATGGTGACTTTATTGTAAAACTGAAAATTCACAAGGTGTATGTATCTATACATATGTGTATACGTGTGTGTATGTATTTTAATATAATATAAAATTTTTATTGATTGCTTAGAGGTTTATACTATCTGTAGTTGTCTGTTTTGCATTTCATTTTGTCTTTTTTCTCCCTTGAAGTTTCAGACTCTCTGGCTCAATCTGTAGTTCAGCATCTAAGATGGATAATGCAGAAGGACCTTCTGGGTCAAGATGTCTTTCTAATAGGACCTCCTGGGCCTCTTCGACGCTCTATTGCTATGCAGTACCTGGTAAGCAGTCAATTCTTGTGCATGCCTAAGGGCCTTAACATTGATAAGGAATGTTGGGAAATAAGTTAAGATTTTATAAAATTAAATTAGAAAAATCTGTTTTACTTCTTCTTGAGGTGATTTTATTGTACATAAGCATTAATTTCACAGTACAGAAAATATGAGATTATAAAGATGTCATTAAACATCAACACCATGGCTCTCTCTGTTCAGGAAATCTGTCCAAAGAAGACATGATGGAGAGAGGGCCCCTTCACTTGCATTGCTTTTACTACGTAATTCTGCCTCAGAACTTGACTTCTCCTGTTTCCTAAAAGAAATGTTTATCTCTGAGAATAACAGAGAAAGTGTGTCTTTGGCCTCCCAGGCTGTTCGTGGGTAATGGAAATGGAAATGTCTGTTGTGTTGCTGGAGTTGTGGGAAAAAGGCATATAGGGCAGGATTCAGTGTAGGAGCCTTGCATGGAATCTGGATGGATAGCTTTTAAGAAAGGTGCATGTGAACTGATGGAGCTGCGGGGATTAATAATGACACACATTGTTCACTTTATTCTAATTCAAGTGTAAAGGATGACTTGCTGTCTTCACATTAATCTAAGTACTATAGTGATTTGCCCAGTGATGATTGGACTAGACTGTGCTTTCCTCTCGGTGACAATTCTAAAGAAGAGAGAAGAATCCAGAATGTCAGAAGATGTGGCCTTCTTACTTCCAAGCTATTTAACCCCTGAGGTCTCCATGATGCCTCCCGCACAGCACACCTGGTAGAAACTGACTTCCGTTGCTCTCTAACTGTGGAGTGAGCGGAAAGCCCAATTGCATGTCACCCTCTGAAGTGGGCACTCAATCTCTTAAATCTTTTGTATTTATCCACAATGTCTGGGTAGTGCTGAGCACAAAGTAGATACTCAATAAATACTAGATTTTCACACACACAAAAAATTAGCCATTACTTAAAAAGAGTTGTTAATGTTGAAGAATGATTTGTTTGTAAAGAATTTGGAATAAGTTATTTGGGAAATAAATGTATTGCTATTTATAGCTTTAGCAATTTCTGCTATAACTAGAAAGTCCTCCACTTCCTTTCCAGTGGAAATGAAATATAAATTCAGTCAACAAGTAGTAGATAGAATCAGCAACTCTGATATTATAAAACAACTTACTTAGGGAACATTCTTTTATCTCAGATCCACATTTTAAAAGGTCCAATAATTGTCTTGACTTTTTGATATTAAATGGTCTTTAAAGAAAGTCTAAGATTTGTACAATATCTGTTATGTGTTACACACTCTGTCTTTTTTTTCTTTAAGTAGATGAGAAAACAAGTTCATTAAATAACTCATTCAAGCTTTATTCAGCTAGTAAATGATGGAGCTAGATTTCAAACCTCATATTGTTTCTTCTCTCTGACATGTTATCCTCTTAAATGTTTGCTGTTCTCTGAGTACATTGTGAAGTGAATTGAAGTATTTGATTCTCAACCCAAATTTAAAAATCTGTAAGACATTTTTCTCTTTGTCATCATTAATAGACATTGCTCTAGTGATTCAAGGAAGAATGCTATCGAATAAAGTTGTTTTGTTCTGAAGATCCTTTTTAGGATGAAGGGAAAAACCTCCTTTAAGTGTTCCTTTTGTTCTTGACATTAAAGAATTGATTTCTATGCTATTGAAACATTCTTTGTGTACACTTTTATGTCACTAGTGAATTTATTTTGGTACTCAGAAAATCATCTAGGGCAGGAGTGATAATATGAACAAATCAAAACTTAACTACCTCTAGCCTATACATTTCATATATTTTGTTCCTAGAACCAGTTTGTAAGGTATAATGTGCCAATGTATGCATTGTATCCCCCCTTTATTAAAATACAAGGCAAATGTGTCTTTTTTAAGAATTCAGAGATAGCTACTGAGAATTCAAAGTCTAGAACCTCTTTAATTTTAAGATGTGTGCTTTTCACCTGGCTCATTTCAAAGACTACAAGACTTCACTTTGATTTTCTTTCTGGTAAGATACTGAATTTTGTTAGGAAGGAATGTGGGATGAGAAGGGCTAGGAGATTATAGTAATGTTCTTGGTTAAAAAATGCAACATAAGTTTAGGAGGGGGATGTCTGTATCTTAAAATAAAACAAAACTTTAAATTGTGAAATAGCCTTGAGGCAGCTTTAGAATGTGGAAATACACATAAGAAAACTTAAGCTGCCTTGCAAACTCTGCAGAGGTTACGATTGCCCTTAGACATAAGGTCTTAATGCTTCACGTAGTGATAGCCACAGTAGATGATGTTTTTAAAGGCAGAAATTTTGGGTCAAACCTGCTGAGTCAATGAGAAATTAAGAGGAAATAATTTGATAGTTGTGTTTATATTTAAGTCCTATAAAAGGGGTTTTATAGATCAGAAAAACCCAGCGGACCACTGCCGCCTCTTCCCTCTGCTGCTCTGGTGTGGTGAGCTTGCTCAGAATGATTCTGTGGAGCAGCTGCCAAGGGGACCCTGGTGCTTGCTTTGGCTGGTGAAGAGCCTAGGAAGCGGTCAGGACCGAGGATAGTATTTTTAGTGTGGCGTTACACAGGGCATTACTGTGGTACAACTTGGTGATAGGAGGCATGCGTCCCTTTGTCAACCAGTGTGAATGACAGGGTTTCAGAAGAAATGGGTGTCTGCTAAAAAGAGGACTTTCTACTTTACTCCAAAACTGTGCTCTTGCAGGCAGTTCATTCTTATTTAAAAAAAATAACACTACTACGATGTGTTTTCTTTATTGAGAAGTTTTCTTTCTTTCCATATATACTCAGATTTAAAGGCACATGGGAACTGGCATATTTTAAGAAAACTAATTAACAACAATAATATAGTTTTGTCAACATCACAATGTAAATAAGGTAGAGAAAAAAGTCCCTCTCCTAGAGTATAAAGTAATTTACTGGAGTATAAAGAAAAAAGTTGAATGAGTGTATGATTAATAACCATTAATAACATGCTCATTCAACTTTTTTCTTTATACTCCAGTATTTTGTTTTCCTTGTTTAGTAAAAATGTAGTGTACACCTTTTTCAGTTGGATAATGTCATTGTTTTTAATTCAACATTGTCAAATCAAGGGTAATGTTAAAAACTTTTTGTTCATGGATGTTAGTAGAGATGGATAAATAATTCTAAAAGAAATTAATTCTAGATGGCTTCCCCTTCAAATCCTATGTGATTTATGGGGTGAAACAATTCTTTCTCCTTCCTCCTCTTCCCTTTCCCCCTCCTCTTTTCATCCTTTTTTCTCCTCTTTTCTTTCCTGAATAGCCATGTATGTGTCTCTCTCTTTTGTTGACCTGACTGTTGGTGTTTACCTTATTTTCGCACTCAGTAAAGTATACAGTTGACAAACATTGGCTAATAAAATTAACTTAAATCACCCTTAAAAAATGATGAACATTACTTGCGGAAATGGCTATCATTTGGGAAATAACCAAGTAGCCAAATTATTACTCATGATATTTGAAAAGAATTCTGTGGCCGATATTAAGAGTTATTAGATCTCATTTTGATTATTATTTTTTTAAATAGTAAACAATTATTAAGTGGTGAATTACAGGGTGCAGTAAAAGTAGAACTCTACATGTTTTGATTAATGCTCAATTTATTACCTTCTTTTCAGAGCCAAGACTCAAAAGGTTTAATCCAGAATATATTTAAATGCTCTTTTCTGGGGCAGTGGCATTTTCAGTCCAAAGCCCATGTTGGGAATTGGATTTTTATTTTGGAACAATTTCACTTTCTACTCTACAGGAGCTGACCAAACGGGAAGTTGAATACATTGCTTTGTCAAGGGACACGACAGAAACTGATCTCAAACAGCGTCGAGAGATCCGTGCAGGCACGGCCTTTTACATCGATCAGGCAAGTTCTTACCACGCTCTGGCACATGACTGTTTACTCCAGGTCTAAATGGAATTGATTTTTAAAGTAGAAAGAGAGTAGCTCTTGTAGTAGTGAAAGATAGCTTCATGATACTCTCTCTAGAAAGATTTGATTTAGAGTTTTTGAGTTTCTGTTCTTGGAAATGCCTTCTTGGTTTAGTACTAAGAAATCATTGATGAAATTACTGGTTCTAAAATGTTGGCTAAAGATCATTATGCTGTTTTCTTAATTTTTAATTACTTTCTACTACTTGCCTATAGAAATTTGATTTTTAAAAAAGAACTAAGGAAATTTTAATGTAGGAAATTCTTTAGCACATTTACTAAAGTATTCTCAACCTAAAGGTCAGGTAGGTAAAGGTGTACTAAATATAGTGAAATTAAATATTTGCTTCCAGGAACTCAAGCTTTTTTGAGGGGGGGAGGTGGTTATTAGATATAGATTACCAACTAAAGTAATATTTTATGAATGTTATAATGAAGCTTGTTACACGTTTTTCAAATTATTGCTTAAAATATTAAATATTCTTTGTTAGGTATATCTAGATAAAAAAGGACAGAGACTTTAAATGAGTAATTCATAGAGAAAATATTTTAAATGTCCAATACATTTGTGACGAGATGTTTGACCATTTTGTTTACGAAAGTGAAAACTAAAACACTGGCAAGCTGCTATTTTTCTTTTACCTCTCAGATTGGCAAAGATTAAAGCATTTGCTAATGTTCATCATTTATGAGGAAAAAGGGTTGATGAAAGAGCATTGCTGTTGATGAGGGCATAAAGCGATGCAATTTGAAAGACAATGAACAATTCTTATCTATCAAAAGAATACATTTTGACCCAGCAGTTATATTTCTATCATTTTTTCTTCCGAATGTTATTCACACAAGCGTGCAAAGTTGTATATACAAGGATGTCTATTGTAGTATTATTTGATATGATATAAAAGTATAAGTGAAAACTGTAACGGTATACATTTAGGTGGTAAATAAAAAGTGGTAAGCAGAATTCTCTGAAGACTTTAAAAAAAATGAGGTGAAAATTTATAGGAAGGAAGACCAGGATGTGAATGAAAGAACTTTAAGTTGCAAGACAGTGTGCATAATATCCCATTTATGATAAAAAGAAATATATATAAATGTTTGTGTATACATTGAAAATTTCCAGAAGGAAACACAAGAATTGGTTAAGACAGTTACTTCTGTGAAAGTGTGATTGGGCATCTAGGGTGGGCTGAGGAAGGAAGTTTCATAGTTCTTTAAATTTGAAGCTTTCACATGAATACACTATTACTCTATAATTAAAAAGTAATATAATTGTAAAAAACCACTGCGTGACAGAATTTTAAGACTAGGACATTAACATGTTCCATAGTTTACTTACTAATTACAAAACGAAAGAATGCACTTAAAATGGAGAGAGATGGCAGACACAATCTTGATGGTGATCAAACTTAGCATCATATACTGGTAAAATCTGAGAAGTTCAGATTTCCAACAATTGAAAGGTAATCCTTTGTGGAGGAACCACACAGTGCATTTTAAAAAGAAGTCCATTTTATTCACATGATGCGAAAGGTTCACTTCATAGATTATTTCTAGTTACAAATGAGAATAGATTTACCTTTACAAGGCCTGTTTCTTTTCTGGACACAAGGAGGATGAAAGTTAGGACAGGAGATTTGAGTTGGAATAGTGAAGAGATGATAAGAGAGATTAGAAAATGAGAGAACAGCTTGAGCAGAGGGGAGGAGATCGGAATATATTTAAATAACAGTGAAAGAACTGGCTTTGTTTCTAGAGTATGTGTTTGAAAACATTTTTAAATGAGTTTTATACATGGATTAATTGTTACAAGAAGAGAAAGTGGATTTTTATATGTTTGTAATTTTAAAGACAACTTAAAACTTTGGCTATTCAGAAATGTCAGAAATTGGGTTAAGTAACTAAATTTATAGATTAGCGAAAGATTTATTTCTGGAAATATAAAGTAAATTATTTAGATGGAACTCTGTATTATTAAACATTTCTGCAATTCTAAAAAGCATAATTTCATATATCTATTTTACAGCTTATAAAATATTTGAAGTGCTATTTAAATGTATAGTAGAACAATATTTTATGCTTTCATGGTTTCTTGGGGAGTCCTATTGATTATGATGAACATCAGTTATTTAGGCAGTTGTAATGCACTAACACTTTCAAAGCCTGTGATTGTGGTGTAGGAATATTGACCCTTTCTATAAGTTGCTTCAGACTATTTATTGAGATTGTATCTGATTTTCATATTTTTTCTTCTATCTCATTTCTGGGCAGTTAATATTCCTTACTGTTTGCTCATAATCAGATCCTATCATGTCTTTGCCACGCAATCCTATCACAGCCAGAATGAAATCCAGACCCTTTAAAATGGCCTGCAGCACTCTGCAGGACCTAGTCTTGTCCACTTCATCTCTTTTCCCTCTTTCCCTTGCCTTCTAGGCTCCAACTACAGTGGCCTCCTTGTTCTCTTAGAAATAGACCAAATACTTTTCAGCTTCAGAGCCTTTGTACATGTACTTGGTATTTCCTCTGCTTGCCGTATCTTCTCCTAGCTCTGTATATTGCTGTCTCCTCACCATTTGGATTATACATTCTTGGAATATTTTAGCTGAAGTGATCAGTGCTCATGTTCACCACCTTTCCACATGTACTGTGCTGTCATATCACACAATATAATCTTCTTCAGAGCATCCATCACTATCTAAATTTACCTAATTATTGTCTGTCTTCCCTGCTAGCATGTAACTATTTTGTTTATCTCTAGCACCTAAAAGTTGTCTGGAATATAATTGGCACTTATGTTTGTTGGTAGATTTCTCTTCTGCATAATCAACCTTGTTAAAATTTTAAATAAATTAAGAGAACATAGGCTCTGTATAGGACTGGGGGCTTTCCAATAGAAAAGGTATGTCTTTTCGACATTATTTTGAAAAATCAAAATGAATAATTCCCATCTGAATTCTCAATAGATGAGGTTGCCATTTGATTACCACTAGTCATATGTATGTTTGACTAAAGTCTTTAGATTTATCTTATTTAGAACTTTTAAGCTTATTTAAAATTCTAAACTATTGAATTTGATATCTGGGGTTAAGGGAGAGTCAGTATCTTCATATACTATCAGGTGATGCCTCTAAACCTAGCTGGGCCAATGTAAATGAAAAAATACATGTGGTGGATGCCGGGAGAGAGAGTGTGGGATTTTCAGTGTGATTGACATTGTATACACATTATGAGTGATGTCCAAGTAATTATTAATTGACATTTCATCTGAAAACCTTGGCAAAACTCCCAAATCCAAGTTGGGGGTCATGGCCATTGATCTCTGCTTATTTTCATGTAGGATTAAGGGTGATTGATGATAAAGTGAGAGATTAAACGCAACTACTACTCTTGAGTTCAGAATTAGGTTAATTCTCTCATGGGGAATTTATATTTTCTTTAAAAATAATGATTTTTTTCTGATTAATAAAGTCATACATTCTCATTTCTTTATGTATATATGTACATACACAAATAGTACAGTATTTATTAATTAACAAATATTTATTGAAATGACTGCTTTGTGTCAGGCACTATCTAAGTGCTGTGAACAAAATAGACAAATTCCTGTCATCATAGAGCCTATGTTTTGGTGGGAAAAACAAAAGAAACAGAGTAAAGAATGATAGTATAATAAAGTAAATAATAAATAACATAGGGAAGAATATAAAAATTACTACTTGTAATTTCCCTTCAAGACCAACAATGCAAATATTTCCTGCATTTCTTTTTATTATGTCTATTTGCATATTTAATCATGTGTAATTAAAAAAATGGTGTATACCATGTATATAAAGTTTTACAAGGTCTGTCCAGAAAAAGTCCAGCCATTGCTAATATAGTGAGAACAGTTTGTACCACACTGATGTAACCTGGCAGCCAGGGATAGAGGACTGGTATGTGCATGCATGAACAATGACAGTTTCACTGTACGTACTACTCAGTGGGGGCGGTAGATGCCGCTGAGTGAATGTATGTATTATTTGGCAGTCTCATTCAAAATGAGCGAGTAGAGCAACAAATCTGCATCAACTTTTGCATTAAGCTTGAACAGTCCTCAACGGAAACTATTCAGATGACTCAGAAGGCCACCGCTACGGGTGACTGGTGATTGGCAGTGTCATCCTGACAATGTGCCCACTCATGGATCATGTCTTGTGCAGTGTGTTTTGGCGAAACATCAAATCACCCAGGTGACTCAGTGCTGCTAGAGCCCAGATTTGGTGCCCTGCGACTTCTCTGGCTTTTCCCAAAACTAAAATCATCCATGAAAGGGAAGAGATTTCAGACCATCAGTGAGATTCAGGAAAATATGATGGGGCAGCTGATGGCAAGGTGCCTACTTTGAAGGGGACTGAAGCTTCATTGTCCAATGTACAATGTTTCTTGGATCTTGTAACTTCTTCAGTAAGTGTCTCTATTTTTCGTACATGGCTGGATATTTTCTGGGCAGATCTGTATATAGTATACTTTTAAAAATATCTGATATTTTATCAGGAGCATCTTCCTGTACCATTAGATAGTCTTCCAAAATATAATTTTTAGCGCTGCCTGGTGTGGCTCAGTGGGTTGAGCATTGTTCCTGCAACTGAAAGGTTGTCAGTTCAGTTCCCAGTCAAGGTATATACCTGGGTTGTGGGCCTTGGGAAGTAGCAAAGAGGCAACCAGTCAATTTTTTTCTTGCACATTGATTTCTTTCTCCCTCTCTCCTCTTTTCCTCTCTCTAAATAAATAAAATCTTTGAAAAGATGATTTTTAGGATCCAAATACTATTTTATCAAATGCATGTGACATTATTTATTTAACATTACCACCATTTTATCCACATTCCCATATTGTTGGTCATTTAGGTTCTTTCTAAATTTTCACTATTATAAATAGCACTTTGGTGAATGTCATAGTAACCTCTATTTTGTTATTATTTCTGATTACTTTTTTGATTTGAATTCTAGAAATATAATTACCAATTAAAGAGTCTGGACAGTTTCAAAAGTCTTAATATATATTTATTGCCAATTGCTTTCCAGAAAGGTATTGCAACTCATATTGTTATCAGTACAATAGAAATGATTGCCTCATCTTTGTCAAATTGATAGGCTTTAATTTGCATTAAAAATTACTAACCAGGATGAATCTTTTTTATATTTATTATGTTATTACTTTTGTAAGATGTTGATGAATTGAATGGATAATAAAAAAGGAGAGAGGTACTGATGAAGTAAATAAGTTACAGTCTGTCAAGAAAGTGTTGGAAATTTACAGCATGCTTGTCTATGTGAATATTTGCCATAACTTACCCACTTATTGATGTGAAGGTAATTTAAATATTTTTATGAATTACCTTGGCAAGCAGATTATATACTACTTTTTAAAAAAGAATTGGTTAAAGACCAGAAATACGAAAATTTGTTATGACACTAATGGAGAAGTAAGAAGAATAAGACATTTTGCTACCACAATGATTTTTGTTTGCCTGAGAAGATAAAATAACCTGAAAAAAGCTAAATTATCAATATTCTAAAACCTTAAAAACCTATTACTGTCCTCATTTTTTTCTTAGTGCCATTCTAATCATTAATTCTGTTTATTGCAATGTGACTCTAAAGAGAGGAGGACTTTAAGTCAATATACAATTGCTTGGATTACTCAAATATAAGCCAAAACAAATTAGCTAAGTTACAAATAACTTACATGTAGGTTTTATGTCTGACTGAGGAGATGCTCTTTACCCCCAAGCTCATTTCAGGAGCAGAGGGCCAGGATAGGGAAGTTCAAATGATTTTCTTTAACTTTTTTAGCTAGGAACTCTTTTCCTATTTGCATTTTGTTAATTTGTTTGACATGATACTGTGATGTTCCATGATGTACAATATACATATTTAATATTAAGTATAAAAATGCACTTTAAACAATAATATAATATAACAATGTATTCTGTCCTGTATTATTCTCGACTCTCTTACTAATAGAAAAAATAATATTAACTTTTAAATGCACTGCTTAAATATTACAGGTCATCAAAAGCAACTCTCAGTAAATTGAATAATAGTGCTATTGATTAGAAAAGACTTTTATCTTGTCTAAATTCCTTTTATTTATTTTAGCAAGTAGGGAAAAACATTTACTTGTAAACTCTATCTCATTTATGGATTGTCAAAGCCACTTTCCACATGGGACAACTGTGAAAATTACAAAGTTGTCTTTCAGAAGTTCATTCATAAATTAAGTCCTAAAATTTGGAAAGCATCTCCAATAGAAGCAAAGCTGTTGAGAGTGGCTGAATTCTGGTACTTGCAGATCCTTTGCAGACACAATATTACAGTATATTTTCATTGTCACCTGGGCAGTTGGAGAAAGTCTATGTTTGGCTTCTGTGTTATAATTCAAGCCTTGGCTCCTAATGTTGCCATTTGGTGCAGGCCAACTCTTACCTACTTATATAATGTTCACTGTTTGACAGATTTGTATAATTCATTAAAAAAATAAGAAAGATGAAAATAACTTATTGAGGAATCCTCTGTTGTTCTAGGTGTATTTAATTCTCAAAATATCCTAGGAGGGAGATGACTTACTCAATTGATAGGTGAAGTACCTGAGTCTTAGAGGGCCATGGCCATACAACTGATAAATAGCAGAGGTGGAATTGGAACTGGGATCTGTCCAATTTCAGAGTTTAGGTTTCTTTCTACCATGTTATGTCACTTCCCTAAGAAAGTGGCGATGATGATGCTGATGATGACAATGATAACAATGACTACAATGACAATATTCATAATAATAACAGTCAGTCTTTTTTTAAGGGCTTAGCGTGTGCCACAGGTTATCTTATTTAATCTTCAGCATAATCAATGAGACATGTACCACAGTTGGTATAGCTTTAGAAAGAAATGGAGGCTCAGAGAATAAAGCGACTAATCTGTCATCAATAGCAGGTAAGTGCTAGAGCAGCTAGAAATCAATCTGATCATATTCTGGTATTTTATGTTATTTTTAAGATATACTTGTTTTATTCATAATTTGTCATGTTTTAGAATACCAAATGTGATTCTAATGGTTGCTATTTAACAAAAAAAAAATTATAACCTCATCTTAAATCTACAGATTCATTTCATTCGATAGCAGGGGAGGCAATATAAGGGGACTAATGGAATAGGAAAAACATACAATAAAGATCAAATTTAAAAATTTTTTTAAAAGATTGAAAACATTTTGATGCATGGGGAAAAACAGGAACATAAAAACAAACATGCACACAATTGCACAGTTTTCATAAAGGTCTATTTTATAATTGGTGGGTAGCACATTTAATGATTAAATACATTTAAATATTGTATAAGTGACCGCATGACTGCAGCACTGGTAATGAGACAGACAACCAATTCACCTCGGAACCACCTAACAAGCAACTGTCTAAATATTTAAAACACAGCTCTTGTTTAGCTCATCCTTTGTTTCGATCACCTTCTTAGAGGGAAAAAACCTGCTGGTGTCACTGGGAATATATTAAGGCCAGATCTTCTGATATCCACTTGAGAGGTTTCTTTCAGCTGGATTAAGCCTCCAACTACAGGGCAAGCCCAAGTTTGTGGCCTCCAGCGTTAATGCTCTTCCCTTCTACCAGAGCAGACAGCATAAGCTTCATACCAGACCTCAGAGTCTGAGCGTAGTTCACTCCAATTAAACTAGAGTTGTTGACTTTTGCAGAAATGGAAGCAGCGGGACCCAACTGGTATATAGTGCCAAAGTGAGTGCAGTTGGTAAACTCCAAGCAAGGTTTACAAAAGCATCAAGATCTTCACATACTTTCCGATTAATTGAGCCTCCAAATTCTGCCCCACCATTGACATTAGCGTGTAGCTGGAAGTCCCCAGTGCTGTAGCCTGCTGCAAAGTTATTCCTTGTCAGCTGTGATTTGGCACTGTCAAAGGTTATCTGGTATCCAGCAAACCAGCCCTCATAACCAAAGGCAGCTGGACCATGGATTGCAGGTCTAGCAGAATCAAAGTCAACATCTTAACCAAGGTTTATACATTCCCTTTTGTAAGAAGACTTGATTTTACCATTTTTCCTTCCTGTGTTTGGCAAAAAGGTGGTATCAAATGTCAGTTTCAAACCTTGACAAATATGGTCTTCAATTGTGATTTCTCCTCCCAGAGCATTATCAGTGTTCCATTTCTCTGTGAAAGTCAGAGTTTACTCACACCATTTATATTTGGTCTCCAAGGTCCCAGTAACTTTAGTAATGCTTGTATTAGATGAACCAGATGTTGAGAGTTCAGTGCCACTGCATGACTTTGTTTTCACATCCAGTTTCGCCAATACCAAACCAAATTATTTGTTGAAAATATGTCTGGCAGCTTTGCCAAGGTCAGCATATGATGGAGAGATTACACATTGGCCATGTGCAGCTCTGTCCGTAGGTCGCCATGGCAAGGCCACAGGAAGAGGTGATCTAGGGGTTTCCTGAGGGGGCCTGCTGCTAGCTTGCTTGCTTGGGTCTGGTTGCGGCTACCATGCTGGAGGGGGAAGTGAAGGAGACACTATTCCGCACCCTGTAGCCCTGTCCTTCCCATTCCAGCCATATTCTGATTTTAAAATAAAGAACTCGAAATGTAATATTTTAAGGTTTTGGTGGGGTTTTTTTTGCTTCCTTAGTGCTATTTCACTGCAGCCATTTTCAGTAATTTGTAGCTCTTTGGAATTTATTTTCATTAAATCATGGCTATATTAATAATAATTTATACTTTAATAGGTTTGATGGCTTTAAATTTTTTTCCAGTACTGCTTTGATTAATAAATAGTGATAGTGTACAATACCCCTTGAGGGTACTCTCATTTAGAAAATGAGGACATAGGCCTCTAGGTTGATTGTCTGCCTCAGGTCTTTTATCAAATCAGAAGCAAATCTAGAACAGGGACTTCGTTTTAATTTTAGGTCATGCAGCTGCTTTTATCTTGAGATGCTTTGTGTCCACATGTTGGGATGTTAAAGCTGTTATGTGAGATGATTTTTCCAGAAGAATCTTGCCCTATATTTTTCTAATTTCTATTTGAGAAAATTAGGTCTCTGAAAGCTCTGTAGCTTGAAAGGCAGGAAAGAATCCTTATGGTTGATCTATTTTCCACTTTGAGAAATGATCACAAGTACTCTTTCCACATAAAATATCTATGCACTGCTTTTTTTAAATATTTCACTAGAAAAATTTGCTATGTTTATAATGTTGGCAGCATTGAACATTAGAATAAATCTGAATTCATGTTGATGGGGAATCTTGTTTAAAACTTTACAGTCTCCACATGTTCTCACCTATGATCCTCTCAACAAACTTGTGAGACAGATAGGACAGATACATTCATTTGCTTTTGTAGTTAAGGACTCTGTTTCCTTGTTTAATTTTTACTGATTCAAAAATAGCTCAAAGTTTTCTATTTCCTTGGGTGTTATCTGCAATGTTATAGCTGAAAGGAATTTTAGAGATTATTTCTTCCAATCTCTTCATTCTATAAACAGGAAACAGGCCTAAAGAGAGAAAAATCAATTGCCTAAGATCATACGGGCACATAAGGAAGTTTTAAGATCTGGACCCCAGCTTTCCTGGTCCCTATAGTAAGAACCACAAGTATAATTTACATTACAAGTAAAATTAGGCCATGCTCTGCTGGCTTCTATATTCTCATATTGCTTTTGTTTCTTGGAAACAGTGTGCAGTTCGTGCAGCCATGGAAGGCAGAACTCTCATTCTGGAAGGCTTGGAAAAGGCGGAGAGGAATGTTTTGCCTGTTTTGAACAACTTGCTGGAAAATAGAGAGATGCAGCTTGAAGATGGACGTTTCCTAATGTCTGCAGAGCGTTATGACAAACTTCTCCAAGTAAGAAAATAAAAATTCAGCTGCTTTGTCTTAGCTACTGAGCTGTGGGCAGTGCCATTTGTAGGATAAACACGATTGTATCAGAATGAGGACACATGTTTAGTTGGCCCATACTTGTAGTAAGTTGCTGAAGTTAAGTCATTAATTTGCAGTTTTACAGGGCTCTTCTAATATTTGCAGACCATATTAGACAACCTCCAAGATTTTTACTTTAGCTTGCCAGTGTAATAGCTTTCTTTTTCTCCTTCTCCTTTTCCTCTCCTTTTAAGTCTTCTTCCCTTTCTTTCCCCTTTTCTGTCTTTCTTTTTTCATCTCTCAACAAATATCTACTAAAAGCCTAATGGCTTAGACAGTGGTGGGAATACAAAGCTGAAAAGAGTTCAGATCTTGGCCTCAGAAAGTGCAAAGTCCAGTAAATACTGTAGAAATGAATAAGTTATTTAGAAGACACTCTGATTGTTCAAGCTACCAGCATCTGGTGCCTGAGTTGTTCTAAGAGCCTCCTAACTGAGTTAATACAAGCCCAGAACAACCTAGGCAGTAAGTGAGAGATGTTGACACCAAAGGGTCTGTTTGAACTGATGCTCCATGTCTGGCAAGACTAAGAGCATCTCTTTTTAACTGGACCCCCTGCTTCCATCCTTCCTGCCCCCTAGCAATCAGGGATCTCTTTAAAACACATGGCAGATCAGGTCATTCTCCTGTTCTGACCCTCTCACAACTTCCAGAAATCTTGTTCTTCTCAAAATAAAGTACAAAGTCACTGAAAATAGGGTCCCTGTTCCACTACTGCCTCTTGGGCCTTATCTCTTAGCTCTCTCCTTTCTTACTCTACTCCAGCTGCTAGAATTCTCTTTTCATTAAACATGCCAGATAGGCATTCTTTTATCTTATTATGGGTGCTTTGCACAGGTACTTTACTCTTCTGGAATGGTTTTCTCTCAGATACCCACCCAGTTTACTTCTGTACCTCTTTCGAGTCTTTGCTCAAATATTATATTATCAATGAAGCCTGCCCTTACCCTCCTATTTAAAATTGTAATGTGCCCTCTGCCCCCACAGTCCCGTACCCTGCTCTATTTTTTCCCATAAAGTCTTCTAACATCCTACATGATTTACTTATGTTTTTAGTTCATTCTCTGCTTCCCCTTATTAGATTATAACTTTCCCTAGGGGAGGGATTTTTGTCACTGATGTTATATCAAGCTCTTAGAGCAATGCCTGGCAGTTGGTAGGTGCTCAATAACTGTTGGATGCATGAATAACTGTAATAAAATCATTAAATACTGTGATACAAATGCAAATAAAGAAGGCAACAACAAGGGAATGTGGGCTCTTCAAAGGCTTTGGAGAAGAGGTTCCTGTAACGTCACAAAAGGACAGAAGACGGCCTTGTTCATTCAGCTCCAGTTGTACCGCACTCGATCTCTCTGGCTAACCAGGTCTCTGGGGGCTGTTGGCTCTGCCTCTGTGTTCTAGGATTTAGAGTCTACCACCCCTGTTCTGTAGAGATAGGTGAATCTTCCTGCCCTAAGATGGTTACAGATTTCTCAAGAGCACGGCTGTATTTTAAGCTTCTTTGATCCTGCTTCCAAGGAGCAATACAAGCCCAGAACAACCGAGGCAGCAAATAATAGATGTTGACACCAGAGAGTCTGTTTGAACTGATGCTCCATGACTGGCAGGACTAGGAGCATCTCTTTAATTCCTGCTGTGTCAGTCTGTTTTCTTGGAAACCTATCTTGCAGTCCTTTTAGTACTGTTTCTTTACTGTTTATGGGAGATCCTAGCTGGTGTTTTCATTGTGCAGTATAGTTGTTTTCTTTTGAATCTATCTAAAGTGGCACCATATTAATATAATAATAGGGGAATAGTTAAGGATTTAATCAGTAAGAAAAAATTAAAGTCATTCATATTGTTAGTTAATTTATTGACATGAAAGCCATTTTGTTATTTATTTTTAAAAAATCTTATTTTAAGTTTTATAAATTTGTTTTATAAATAATATAAATGCATATAAGTAGAAAAATAATAATTTATATTTATGTTAAAATTAGACATTTTATAGGACATTTTCTCCTTGATACTTTCTAATTACAAAGCAATTATTATTTGCCTTATATAGTTATTTACCACTTTTTTTATGTTAAATGCTGTTTATTCAGTCTTTCAAAAGAGGTACAGATTAGCATTGGTTTTATTCCAGCGCATAGTCTATCAAGAGCATAGTACTTTGTTTTTTTTTTGTTTTTGTTTTTGTTTTAATTTTTAATTTTTTTTTCAATTTATTTTTTTAAATACATTTGTCTCTGCCTACACCCCACCACTTTCCCTTGCTCCCCCCATCCTTCCCCACTTTGGTTTTGTCCATGAGTCCTTGCTATATGTTCCTTGACTTGCCCCTTCCCTTCCTTTCCCCCCCCCCCCGCCCACCCCTCCCTCCTTCCCTCTTGTCTCTGTTGATTTCTTTTCCTTTCAGTGTTGCTGGTCTTATTTTCCTTGCATCTTTGTATTGTTGGTTAGGTTCCGCTTATAGGTGAGATCATGTGGTATTTGTCTTTCGCCCCCTGGCTTATTTAGCTTAGCATAATGCTCTCCAGTTCCATCCATGCTGTCGCGAAGTTTCGTAGTTCTTTTTTTCTTTCTGCTGTGTAGTATTTCATTGTGTATATGTACCATGATTTTTTGATCCAATCATTTACTGATGGGCATTTAGGTTGCTTCCAACACTTGGCTATTGTAAATTGTGCTGCTATGAACATTGGGGTGCAGAGGTTCTTTTGTGTTGGCGTTTTGGTGTTCTTAGGGTAAAGTCCCAGCAGGGGAATCACTGGATCAAAAGGCAGTTCCATTTTCAGCTTTTTGAGGAAATTCCACACTGCTTTCCACAGTGGCTGCACCAGTCTGCATTCCCACCAACAGTGGACTAGGGTTCCCTTTTCTCCACAGCCTCGCCAGCACCTGTTGTTTGTTGATCTGTTTATGATGGCCATTCTGACCGGTGTGAGGTGGTACCTCATGGTGGTTTTGATCTGCATTTCTCTGATGGCTAGTCATGCTGAGCATCCTTTCAAATGCCTCTGGACCCTCTGTATCTCCTCCTTGGAAAAGCATCTGCCCAAGTCCTTTGCCCATTTTTTGATTGGGTCATTTGTCTTCTTGGAGTGGAGTAAGTGAGTTCTTTATATATCTTGGAGATCAAAGCTCTATCTGATGTATCATTAGCGAATATATTTTCCCATACGGTTGGCTCCTTTTTCATTTTGCTGATATATTCTTTAGCCGTGCAGAAGCTTCTTATTTTGATGAGGTCCCACTTGTTTATTCTTTCCTTTCTGTCCCTTGCTTTAGGAGACATATCAGTGAAAAAATTGTTGCATGGGATATCTGAGAGTTTCCTGCCAATGTTCTCCTCTAGGACTTTGATGGTGTTGCGACTTATGTTTAAGTCTTTTATCCATTTCGAGTTTATTTTTGTGTATGGTGTCAGCTGATGATCCAATTTCAATATTTTGCATGTAGCCATCCAGCTCTCCTAATGCCATTTGTTGAAGAGGCTATTATTGCTCCATTTTATGCTTCTGTCCCCTTTGTCAAATATTAGATGCCCATATAGACCTGGGCTTATTTATGGGCTTTCTATTCTGTTCCACTGGTCTATGGATCTGTTCTTGTGCCAGTACCAGATTGTTTTGAGTATAGTAGCTTTGTAGTAGAGTTTGATGTCTGGTATTGTGATCCCTCCTACTTTGTGTTTCTTTCTCAAAATTGCTGAGGCTATTCAGGGTCGTTTATGGTTCCGTATAAATTTTTGAAGTGTCTGTTCTATTTCTGTGAAATACGTCATTGATATCTTAATAGGGATTGCGTTGAATCTATAAATTGCTTTGGGTAGTATGGACATTTTGAGGATATTAATTCTTCCAATCCATGAGCACGGTATATGCTTCCATTTATTTGTGTCTTCCTTAATTTCTTTTTTCAATGTTGTATAGTTTTCTGCATACAGTTCTTTTACGTCTTTGGTTAAATTTATGCCTAGGTACTTTATTTTTCTTCTTGCTATATCGAATGGTATTTTTTTTTCTGATTTCTTCTTCTATTTCATTGCTGGTGTACAAAAATGCCTTTGATTTCTGAATATTAACTTTGTATCTTGCTGTTTAGCCAAATTCACTCATTAGGTTGAGGAGTTTTTTGGTAGAGTCTACAGGGTTCTCTATGTACACTATCATGTCATCTGCAAACAATGATAGCTTTACTTCCTCCTTTCCTATTTGGATGCCTTTTATCTCTTTCTCTTGTCTGACCGCTGTGGCTAGGACTTCCAATATGATGTTGAAAAGAAGCGGTGAGAGCTGACATCCTTGTCGTGTTCCCGATCTTAGTGGGAAAGCTTTCAGTTTTTGCCTGTTGAGTATGATATTGGTTGTAGGTTTTTCATATATGGCCTTTATTATGTTGAGGAATGCCCCATTTATTCCCATTTTGCTGAGTGTTTTGATGATAAATGGGTGCTGTACCTTATCGAATGCTTTTTCTGCATCTATCGAGATGATCATGTGGCTTTTGTCTTTTCTTTTATTTATGTGATGTATCGGTTCACTGATTTGCATATATTGAACCATCCCTGCATGCCTAGGATGAATCCCACTTGATTGTGGTGGATAATCTTTTTAATGTATTGCTGGATGCGGTTTGCCAATATTTTGTTGAGGATTTTAGCAAATATGTTCATCAGCAAAATTGGCCTGTAGTTTTCTTTCTTTGTAGGATCTTTATCTGGTTTTGGGATCAGGGTGATGCTGGCCTCATAGGAAGAGTCTGGGAGTCTTCCCTCCTCTTGGATTTTTTTGAATAGTCTGAGAAGGACAGGGGTTAGCTCTTCCTTAAATGTTTTGTAAAATTCTCCTGGGAAACCGTCTGGCCCTGGGCTTTTGTGTACCGGGAGTTTCTTGATGACTGCTTCAATTTCCCCAGTTGTTATCAGTCTGTTCAAG